TTTTTTTTTTTTTTTTTAAGATTTTAGTTAATCTTTAAGAATAACTTTCCTAAAACCCTCATTTATGCTTGTTTTCAGTTCTACCAGAGTTAAAGCTGCTTTGTGGAGCTGATATTTTGAAGACATTTAAGACACCTAATCTCTGGAAGGAGGAACATATTAAAGAAATAGTAGAAACATTTGGTCTGGTTTGCATTAGCCGTGCTGGCTGTGATCCGATGCAGTACATCAATGAATCAGAGCTTTTAAGGAGATTCAAGCACAACATCCACCTGGTCAGAGAATGGATTCAGAATGAAATCAGTGCCACACAGATACGACATGCATTATGCAAAGGACTAAGTGTGAAGTATCTCATTCCAGACTCTGTCATTTCATATATTAAACACCATAATATCTACACAGAAGAGAGTGGGCAGAAAAATGATGGGGACTTGCTTCAACCTCTTAAACAGCACAATGTGACAGTCGACACGCTAAAAGATTGACATCTGTTCCATCAACAGGAAAGGAGATGCTAAAGGAGTCATTTTTTGCACATGCAAAGTAGTTATGAGGAGCTGTTGTGTTGTGGCTGTTGCATTTCTTGAAAGCTTACAATTTTATAAAGAAAAAGTTCAAATTAGAGAAGTTGTTTTGGATCCATGCTTTTCTAAGCTGTTAGGTACTAAGAATTTCAGTTGAGTTAATTCATTAAAGAACAAGATAATGGTTGTTATCTCACATCATTTGTGTTTTCAGAATAAGTATTAAAATCTCCAGTAACAGCAAGGGTTTTCTGTGCTGACTAAAATGGCTTCAGTGGCTGTGTTTAGTACTTTCTTCTACGGCAGTCTTCTCATGCCAGGGACTGCTCAAATGTGAAAGTGTCTCAGCTGTTCCCAGCAGTGAGAATAAAATTAGTCATATTTTTCAATGAACTGTGCTAAAAATATACACGTTATCACAACATTTCTACTTCTCAGGATCCTATGTGACTTCATTAACTAGTACTGCCCAAAATATGTGTGTGGATTGACAAACTTGGAAAGAAATCAGAAATAAAGGCCAGGTTCAGGCAAGCAATTAATTCTAGTCCTGTGCATAAGACATTTAAGGGGAGTTTCCTGTAATTCATTAGATCAGTCTGCATTAGTTTGGTCCTCTGATATAACTTACAGCAGCCAGTTGATATGTCAGTCAGGAATCATGAGATATAGGCAAGTCCCCTATGATAGCAGAAGGGAGAGTGATTGTGAACGTCTGTCTAGACACCCGCCTATTCCTTCTGTTCTTGCTCATTTTCCTTCCTACTGGGTTTCCCTGCAGAGATCTCTCAAAGCTGCTCAAGCTTCATAATGCCAGCCAAGGTTTTGAAAGGTGGTTGAAAGGTGGTATTAGTAATGAATGGGAAGTGGTAAAAGTTGTCTGCCACTTTGTCTACTAGTTTCCTAAACATAGACTGAGTTGGAAAGACTCTCAAATGTGTGCGTCGAGTAAGAAGTTGTTCAAAGGACTGTTTATGCTATTTTTGTCATGCAGTTCAGTTTTTACAATGAGATTGTGCCATGCTTTGGCTTTTAAAATACATCCTTCATTCTATTTTCTATGTATCACTCAGAAATTACAATAAAAGCAGATGTTTCTGAAGATCCCTATTAGTCCAGCTGTATCTATGCCTGAGGAGGGATTGCCTAACTCAGCAGTATCCTTTGGGTTACCGGATAACTCAAATGAAAAAGAATATGGTTTTTATGTCTAAAACAAAAGATTACTGCATACTATGACTGTATGCAACTCAGATGGTACTGTTCACATGAGAGGATAACTAAGAAGCTTATTTTGCACCTGTCAAGTTTTACCAGACATGCTAAGCCCCTACATGTCTGTTCCACCACATTCTTAGCTAACATCTTACTGATCCAGTAAAATTCATTGTACTGGATAATAGAATGAAAATGAGAGGTTAGTATGGCAGTAGGAGCAACTTGAAATGCAGGAGGAGTTATGGCTCTAATGAAAGAGGAGGAGGAGTGAGGAAAGGTTTATGCAGATGACTTATCTCCCCTTCCAGGCAGATGTGCTAGGATGTAGAGGGAGGATTGGAGCTCCAGGCACCACACCCACTGTGTGGGTAGTCCTAATGTGTTCATGCAAGTGGGTAAGGAAATCTTTCCTCCTAGAATCACTTAGAAAGAATAGGATTCTGCCACTCTTACTCATGGTGAGTGGTCTCATGCTACACAATTGTTAGGCTGAAATAAATGGACCTGTTTGCATAGTATGCTTCTGCTTAAGATGAATAAATATAGAACCTGGATCTAAATTAACACCTACTTAAATATTGCAAAATGACTTGCATTTTACTGTAGTGTTTCATAGATTTCATAGACTTTAGGGCTGGAAGGGACCTTGGAAGATCATCGAGTCCAGCCCTCTGCCCCAGGAAGTCAGCTGAGGTCACAGGATCCCAGCAAGATACACGTCCTCCCCCTCTGGTACTTCAGAGGGCCCCAGGAGGGATGGGCTAGCATAGATCAAAGGGATTACATTATTCAGTACCAGGTATAGTTCATATTTAAGTGAAGTCTTATAGCAAATTAAAACTTAAAATGACCCTTTAGGGACTGATCCGCCCTGAGAGATTCAGTGCATTAAATATCTTGGTACATATATGCAATAGAGATCTGGCTGGGGGTGTCCAAAGGTAGCTATGAGAGAGGGTGAAGAAAACTTTGCCAGGTTGTGTACATCTCCTTTCACATGCAGGAATTGCTGCACTTCAAAGTCCAATTGGCAGCACTGCCCTGAAGTCTCAGTGAGAAAAGGGGATGATTTGGGGAATACTGATCAAACTCTCATTTCAGGCTGTTAAGCTATTAAACTGTATAGTGCATTTTCTCCTTTCTGAATACTGAAGTGTATGTTTATCAGTGATGACCAAATTGAAAAGCACCTTTAGGAATTCAGCTTTTCAAATGTTTAATGAATGAAGAGATGCCAACCTGGTTCTTCCTTCCCACTCCTGAATTTGGAACAGAAGACTAAAGGATTTGCAATGCTGTGTCATACTGTAGAGTCAAGCAGGAACCAACATTTATGTAAGTCTTTGCACTAGAGTGAAATCTCACTATCGTACTCCAGCCCAAACATATGTAGCTTATCTGGTCATATAGGAATACTTTATACATGCAAGCTATTTCTGTCATGCAATGACATTGTTTTTGAATAATGCAGTAGTATCACTAGCTTCTCACTTAATCATTTCAACAAAAGTCAGTGGGTCTCTGTGATGTTCTACTTTCGCCTGTTAGAACATTGTTCATATTCCCTTAAGTGAAAGAATGCACTGGGTGCATCTAGACATGTCCCCCATGGTGCAGTTCTTATTGCTTAAGTACTAAATGACGGTACAGTTACAGCCACTACTGCGCCATCCCAGTGATGCATGGGTATTTTTAGACATGTTGTCACTGTAGTGATGCACTACAGCAAGGCACCTTACTGCCATGGCGACAGCATTGGCATCGCAGTTTGTGCCCGCCAATGCTACATCGCTGTAGCGCATTGCTGCAGTGACGAAGCATCACGTGTAGATGCGCCCATTGATTAATAAAAACATGCAACACTGATTAAGACTTTGGACAATAACTACAATTAGCCATCATTCCATAATGACAACCTCTGCTACAAATTACCCACTTTTTCTGAGCCTTCACCTAAGCAGTTAATACTGCAGCCTTTCCTCCAACCCTCTTTTCTGACAGTTTAGAGCATGCAGAGCAAATTAGATTGTTTAACATCACATGCACAATTATTTTCCTTGGTAGAACTTGTGTGAATCCTCTTCTGATGGGAAGGAGGTAAGGACAACACTGAAATGTTCTCAGATCAAAACACCTGGATTTGTCTGCAAAAACCACCCAAATTGTCTACTACCGATAGCCACTCATTTTAACACCCATCCATGTGCCAAGGCCAGCTGACTTGTTTGTTTGTAAGTAGTATGAGGGGGATGTAATATTACAGACAAAATTAATACCCAGATAACCAGTAGTCTTGCAGAAATAGTAGGGAAGGGAAAAAGAGTGTTTTCCATTTAAATCAAGCCATCCTGTCATTAAAAATCTAAGTAGTTCAGCTTTGTGGAAGGATTTAATGGTAGCACTTCAGTCATAATCAGCTTAGAAGGACTCGCATGACTGTGTGGTCTGAAGAATAGAAAAAAGAAGCCAGAGTTCAAACTCACCACAGAAACAGGCACTGAGCTGTGTGGTGCAGAATCAACACACTGTCCTGAAGGGTTGGTTTTTGGCTATTGTATGCACCAGAAATGCCTGTGGATTTCAGTGGTTACTGGAAAATGGTCAGCAATGAAAATTTTGAGGCGTATATGAAAGCATTAGGTAAGATTCCCTTCATATTTCTTTGATCAGTATTAGTAAAATGCCACCTTAGGACTGAGGTGAATCTTTTTCTTCTGTACAATCACAGCAGCATCTTTTTAGTGCTTTCTTTAAAAAACAAAATACTTCCTTCACTAGGATTTGCTAATGAAAAATGTTTTGAAGGAACCCTTTTGCTTTTCACCGTGCTAAAGCTGACCTCTCCAGAAATTACGCTGCAGAATATGAAGATTCAAAAAGCAGCTTTTCTGACTTCTAAAATCTTTGCAGAAGAGAAAGCGTTGTGTGAACTTGAAAAGGGTGCTTGGCGAATAGACATGTAAAATGCTTATATTTCTATAGCAATTATAGTAAACTATCAAAATTAATTACTAGTTGGACTTCATCTCATATTTATTTTCAGCTGCTGCTTAGTTTAGTAGCAACTTAGTTTTGGCCAACAGTATTAAGTTGCAGTTCTTCCCTCCCCCACACCACAGGATTCACTCAAGCAAATTCACTTATGGATTTTAGAGTTGTCAGTTAAACATTTACGTAGGTTGTAATTCATTTCAAGGTCTACAAAGTTTTGTATTGTAGTAGATTCAAGATTTACAACTGAGCTATTTTTTTTTCCTTTTTCAGATGTAAACATTGCTGTAAGAAAAATAGCAAACTTGCTAAAACCTGACAAAGACATCGTTCAGAAAGGGGATCATATGATCATTAAAACGCTAAGTACTTTTAGAAACTACATCATGGAATTTGATATAGGAAAGGAGTTTGAGGAGGATTTGACTGGACTGGATGATCGCAAATGCATGGTAAGAATGAGAACTGTTACTAGTATGTGACAGAGAAAAAAGATTGATACTAAGTCTTGCAAGGAGTGCACTTGCAAGACATCTTGGAATGTTTTCTGTATTGCACAGCTTTACTGGGAGAGTACCACAAGGGGGTTTTAACCTGCCTGTACAAAAAAGGTACGTGTTAAACTTGAACATGAAGCTATTTCTTTTATTAAAGGAGAGACACTTAATTCACACTTTCTCTAGTATAAAGCAGCTGTACAGAGATATTTTCTGTGCAAAAAGTCATTTACAGACAAATTCTACCAGCGTTACACCAAGTAGCACTTTGCTACATAAACAGTCCATTGATTTCAGGGTCGGTCAGGTCTGCAAGAATAGCAGGAAGGTGGCCTCCTGTGCTTAGAAACTGCTGCTGCTCCTGTCCTCTGTCTCTCTCTCCCCTTCCTGCTTCCATGGAGATTTTGAATGGAGCACTACAGAGAGCACACTTAGTTCCATCCATTTCAAAAAACAAAACCACAATGAATGTTGCCGTCAGTAAATGGCAACATGAGCTCTCTCTTATGAGCTTTATCCTCTTGCCAAAGAGACTAATATTTTGGAACTTGTGACTAATAATGCCAATTAGCAGAAGAGACTCAAGAATATCAAGCTGCTTAGCTGAGTCAGAGCCCTGGATGTTTTCTTTCCCATTAGTCTGAGGGCATGACATTTCTGCAGTCTCCCAGAGTGAAGGAGTTGCTGACAAGCAAGAGAAAATTATTTCAGAAGCTGCTGCAGCAGAAAAAAAAAAAATCGAGTAGAAATGAAATAACAGGATCCCATTCTTAGAAAAACTGGCCATCTCTTTGACTGATCAATACACTTCTCTAACACCAGGATATACAAGTCTACGTTTGATCCTGTTATGGTACGAAAGGGCAGGATTTTGAGGCCCAGTAAAAGGGACTCCGCTAGAGCACAGAAAAAATATGTAAAAAGTTAAGAAAGTAAGGCCAAGGAAAAGGGCTATTTGTTTGGAAAAAGTGGTACAGTATAAAGTTGTAGTTCTGGTTACTGGAAGCTTGAAGGCCTAGGTTCAGCAAAAGACATATCCAGAATTTGGGGGCTTAAGTCCAGGACTGTGATGCCTGAAATCCTAGCACTTAAAGGCTATGGATGTGTACATTTTCACACAGAGAGTTCCCTGTACAACTACAAGTTTGCTTGCATGTGCGTGCCCAGAACTGCAACTGCCTTGGCATCCACCACTGCCAAAAGCTTGATTAGGATCCAAAAATTAAGTATTCCCCTAAGGCAGTGGTTCCCAACCTTTTTTTTTTTTTTGATTCCCTGTGGACCAGCACAGGAGCAGGACGGGACACATGGAGCCGGCTGCCTCCCTCTCGGGACTGCCCTGCCCCCCAGCTTTAACCCTGCACATGACTGCCAGCGGCAGAAGCCACTTGACCCAGCAGATAGACAGTGGTTGGGTCCCTCTGCCCTAAGGGAGCCAATCTGGGCCTAATACATCTGAAGCAGTAATCTCCCACAACACAATGGGGTCCTGACCATATTCATTCAAAAACACAGCTGAACGACATGGACGGGTTGCTGCCCTGCTTTCA